CCCACCAGCCACTCCTCGGAAGGAAGATGGGGCAATCTACTTCCGTAGTGATACTGTCTTGGAAACCCAAGGAGGGGTCGCTATGAGTCGGGTCTGACTTGACAGCACAAAGCAACAACAACAACATCACTCCGGACGGAGATTGCCTAACCTTCCTTCCGAGGAGTGGCTGGTGGGTTTGAACTGCCAGCATTCCGGTTAGCAGTCAAGTGCCTTAGGCACTATGCTACCAGAGCGCCTACTTAGTACGTCATATTTTAGATGTTAATTTTGTGACTAACCAAGTTCTTTATATTTTAAATGTGTTATTCGTTGTGCTATTGAGTGATATTGTGTGATTACTCTGCATTATTTAATTGTAGTATTTTAGACTTAAAAACTTTCTAATTTAATCTACAGAGAGAACTTTTCATGCTGATAAGCGGTATATGGATCTGCTTATCAAATCTCCAGCATGCATATTTTAAAGAAATAAAGCATTCATTGAAAGTAATTAGAAAAGGAGCAAATATGAAGCTTCTTTGATTGAAAATTTAGCCATCATGCTCCTATTAATTATGCTTTAAGGACATTTATCTTTGGACCCAGCATCAGTTTGGAAAACTTCTTTATTTAAATATATTTAACCCCACCAGACATTATGGACTTCTCAATGTGATGTAATAGGATACACACAGCATCACCTTTAAAGATTCTTGCATTAAAGAAAAAAAATTGATCCTGAATCTAATCGAGCACATAGATCTAATTACCAGTCATACAGGGTAGTGGGAAGGTAGCAGAACAGTAAATGACGGCATGGGGAAGCAATCAGAGGGCATTCTACAGGCAAAGGAAGTTGGGAAAGGAAAGGAGGGGAGACTTTAGTAGAAAATGTACCGCTTAAGAACGAAAGATGCAACAAAATGCAGTATGCGGTCTTGATTCAGACGATCCAACTACAAAAAGACATCTTTGAGACCCTCAGGGAATTTGAATATGAACTAGATATTAGGTAAGGCATAGTGTTTACATTTAAAATAATCTCTTACCAGAGATACATAACTGAAGGGTTTTGGGGTGAAACAGAATGATGTCTATGATTTGCTTTAAGAGTAAGCTAGGAAATGGAGTCTTTTGGCTGGGAATATTGTATCCAACCATCATCAGTCTGTCATGGTTTGTGTATTGCTGTGATCCTGGGAGCTATGCCATTAGTATTTCAAATACTAGCATGGTCACCTGTGGTGGACAGGTTTCAGCAGAGCTTCCAAACTAAGATAGACTAGGAAGAAAGACCTGGTGACCTACTTCTAAAAATTAGCCAGTGAAAACCCTATGGATTACAATATAACATTGTCTGATAAAGTGCTGGAAGACTTTAGGTTGGAACTCACTCAAAATACAAGATTGGGTGATGTACTTCTGTAGTGATAATGCCTCAGAAACCCAAGGAGGGGTCGCTATGAGTTGGAGATGACTTGACGCACATAACAACAACAACGACGACGACAACAAAATACATAATGGCTGCAACAGTGAGTGATCCTGAAGATGGCTCAGGACCAGGCAGCATTTTGTTCTGTTGTACATGGGGTCACCGTGAGTCAGAGCCAACTCAATAGCAGCTGAGAACAATGATGTCCCAAAGAAGAGAACAGTATTAGGGAAAACTCAGAAACCCAAGGAGGGGTCACTGTGAGTTGGAAAATGACTCGACGGCAGTGAGTTTTATTTTGAGTCAAATGTGTATTCTAAGTGTGCTAATATATAAAATCTTTACATTCAGAAATGATGTTGAGGGCTAAGTATGTTTTAGTGTCACCAAAAATAAGCAATATGATTGTTTTCCTTTGGATTTCTCAATGTTATTAGATATTATAAAGTGCTCTGGTAGTGTAGTGCCTCAGGCATTTGACTGCTAACCAGAAGGCTAGCGGTTCAAACCCACCAGCCACTCCTCGAAAGGAAGGTTGAGCAATCTACTTCCGTAATGATTCTGCCTCGGAAACCCAAGGAGGGGTCACTATGAGTTGGGTCCAACTCGAAGGCACATAACAACAACAACAACAAGAATTAGGTATTAGAGATCATAAAGCAAAGTATTAGGAGCTCTGGTGGCATAATGGTTAAAGCACTCAGCTGCTAGCCAAAAGGTCAGCAGTTCAAACCCACCAGATGTTCCATGGGAGAATGAAGAGGCATTCTTTTTCTTAGAAACCCCGTGGGGCAACTGTACTCTGCCTAAAGGGTTGCTTTGTTTTGGAATTGAGTTGATGCAGTGGGTTTGGTTTTGGTTTAATCTTCAATTAACTTGTTCCTATTAGCCAAGAAGTCTAGCTAGATTTAGTCTTTCTTTGCATAATTGCTTTAGGACGCAGACTTTGACAGGAGAGGACCTTTTTCGGGTCCAAAATATGATTTTTCCTCTCTTCATTTGGAAACAAAAATGTAGTTCTTTTTTATTGTTAAATTATTGAATATTTCAAAACTTTGTTGTGATTAAAATTTTTTTTATATGTTTATAGGAATTACTTTGTACAGAAGTCTTGTGAGTCCACTTTGCAAATAGGGCAATGATTGTACAAAGAGTGGTCCTGAATTCCCGGCCTGGTATGTAGTTGTAATGCATGAACAACTGTGATTCTTCAATGATTGTTAATGCCAGTGGAGGAATATAAAATACTGTGATTTCAGTGTGGTAAATTGAGGTAGTAAGACATTAACACTTAGAGAGATTAGAAGAAATTTCTTTAAACAGTGTAATATTCAGTTTTTCAAGTGATAATTTACCAAGGCATTTGTTGAAGAGATAATAGGTATTCTAAAATAATTATAACATTTAAATATGAAACATTTGTTTTTCCTTTATATTAGGTATCATTTATTCTTAATTTTTTTTTTCTTTTTTTTCCTATTTCATGTGAAAAGAATAGGTCTATAAGTAACCTGAGAGGTTTGGACCCATTCTGTGTTCTAGCCTCTTGGTTTTTCCACTCACCTAGAATGTGACCTGGAGAAGTCACTTAACTTTTCTGAACCTCAGTTTTAAGAAAGTAAGGATTTGGGTTAGATCTTTATATTCTGTTCCCATGTTAGAAATGTGATAATTCTATGAATAGGAAGTTTGTTTATGTTAAACATAACTGAAGATTAGTGATGACATTTTTGTTGTTACTCATTTTTCTTTTCAAACCTCATATTTCCTCATTTCTTTTTTTTTTAAATTTTTATTGTGAATTGGGTGAAAGTTTACAGAGCAGATTCATTTTCCATATAGCATTTTGTATACATTTTGTTTCATGACATTGGCTGTAATTCCCTACAATGTAATAGCTCTCTGTCTACTTCCTCCCCATAGTTACCTCTTCCCAGTGTCCTTCCCTTCCATGTACTCCTGTCCTCTTCCCAGCTATCTCTCTGTGCAGACACTGCCCTTCTGTTCTCCCAGGAGTGACAGCCTCTAAGGAATGTATCTACCTGATGTAAATGTTTACCCCATATGCATGAGTTCAGTTCCAGACCTGAAAGATAACTAAGGGCCATAGTCGCAGGGGTCTCGCTAGGTTCTATCAGACCAAATTTCCTAATTTCTAAAAAGAAAAATCATATTAAGCCAATAATAGAAATTGATTGAAAGTTATTTAATATATGATTTGTAAATAAGAGCAACATTTTGGACTAAAGGGTCAAAAATATTGGAAAGAAAGGTTTTTCAAAGATTGTTGTTGTTGTTATGTGCCGTCGAGTCAGCCCTGACTCATAGCGACCCCTCCTTGGGTTTCCGAGGCAGTATCACTACGGAGGTAGGATTGCCCAACCTTCCTTCCGAGGAGTGGCTGGTGGGTTTGAACCGCCAGCCTTCTGGTTAGCAGTCAAGTGCCTTAGCCACTATGCTACCAGAGCTCCCCAAAGATTGTTATATCCCAGTTTATTGCTAGTAATTATACATTGCCATGGAAACAAGGCCAGAATAGTGTTTATATAATAACAATTTGTTCCACAACACAGCTTCTTGTCTGACCTTTGGAGTTTCGGTTCTTCAAACTGCACATAGGCAATTCTTTAAAAGGACAGAATACCCAAGCAAAACAGTCTTTGCTAATTAAGTTGGACTGTTGTTTATCTTAAAGGTGACTTTTAGGAAACCAGTTTCTCCAGGTTCAAAGATCATTGCAGGGCAGTAACCCGAGTGGGTCATTTCAACTTTCCATGGAATCCAGAAACCTGGATTCCATGAAAATTAAAAACTCCTTTCCTCAGACTTTTAAGATTTCTTATTACATTGATTTAGGTTTCCATTTGCTTCTTAAAATGAGGAAGGAAGTTTACCTAACTACTTACTTTGGTTGATGCGTTGTTTCTGCTACCTTGTAAATTTCAGTGTGCATAGTTATGTAAAAAGCAAACTGGCTATGATTTTTCACTTTTCTAAATCCTCATATTTAAAACAGATAAGATGATTTATGTTTAATCTTCTTAAATAAGAAATTTAAAGTTGATAGCAATATTCCAAAAGAACCTCTTGGAAAAAATCAAGAGCAATTGGAACTACTTGAAGGACTTATGCTGAGTCATTTCTACAGTGACAGAGAAATTATGAAATAACACAGACTTAGTCATGCCTGTATTAAAAGGGAATACTCTGAATCCTAAAGTGAACTTTTTAAGAAATAGGCTTGTACAGGAAAATCATTTTTTTATTTTATATTTTTACCTAATGTTTTAGGAAAAAATGGTAATCCAGTGGCAGAGAATTTCCTCATGGAAGAGGTCAATTTACCAGATAATATCACTGAAGGACAAGTACGAGTTAGAACTCTTTATCTTTCTGTGGATCCTTACATGGTAAGAATCAGAATTTTGTGACTTGGTTGAAAAATAATTTTATTTATATATTTTTCACATTGTGGCATCTCAGATTTTATTGTGCAGTCCTCATGATTAATAAATATCAGAGCAGTTATATCCTGATGCCTGTGAATAACCAAACCAAAAACGAAACCCGCTGTCATCGAGTTGATTCTGACTCATAGAGACCCTGTAGGACAGAAGAACTGCCTAGAGGATTTCCAAGACTGTAAATCTTTAAGGAAGCAGACTGCTTCAGCTTTCTCCTAGGGAGCAGCTGGTAGGTTTGCACTGCTGGCCTTTTGGTTAACAGCTGAGTGCTTTAACCAACACACCACCAGAGCTCCATAAATAATATTTACCTTTTATTCACTGGTGGTGGTAAGGAACATTGTAGGACGCATGTTTTTTATAATAGTTCCTGTGGTTACTCTGTTTTCCAAATGTGATCAGAGTCTTGATCACTTCCCAGTAGTAAGAAAAACTTGAAGATAGTAAACTAGGATTGGAAATTCTCTCAGGTTCAGTTTACAGGGCAGGCTCTATACAAGGCTTCTATTCCAGTTAGGCTTTTCTGGTTGAAAGGAATAGACTCGCAGATGCTATCTTTAGGTAGAGAAGATTTTTGAAAGGGTCGTCATTGCCTAGGACTGCAGTTGAGAAGTTATCAGGTGCAGGGACTTAAGCTGTAAGGGCTAGCTTCTCTTACCGTTCTTAGGGGTCATGAGTCTCTTTCTCTTTCTTCCTAACTTCATTTCATGGCCCTAACAATTTTGGCGTAGTGCCTAAGGCATCTGACTGCTAACCAGAAGGCTGGCAGTTCAAACTCACCAGCCATTCCTCAGAAGGAAGGTTGGGCAATCTACTTCAGTAGTGATACTGACTCAGAAACCCAAGCAGGGGTCACTATGAATCAGATCCCCCTCGAAGGCAGTGAGTTTGGTTTTGGTTATTCACTATACATCGGTTTCACTCCTGCTATTACTAGCCTCAGAAACTCTGGTAGCGTAGTGCCTAAGGCGCTTGACTGCTTACCAGAAGGCTGGCAGTTCAAACCCACCAGCCACTCCTTGGAAGAAAGGTTGAGCAGTCTTTTTTTTTTTTTAATATGATTTAGTGGAACTTTACAGAGCAAATTCACTTTCCATACAGAAGCTCACATACACTTTGTCTCATGACATTGACTGCAATTTCCCACAATGCAACAGCTCCTCTCTCACTTCCCATAGTTACTTCTTCCCTCTGTCCTGCCCTCCCATGCATTCCTGCCCCCCGAGCTGTCTCCCTATGTGTACACAGCCCTTCTATTCTCCCATGATTGTTCTTCTATTCTCCCATGATTGTTCTCTCCAAGGAGTATATCTACCTAATGTAAATGTTCGGCTCTTATGCCTGTCTTTTGTTTGTCTTAAAGCCACAGGAGTGGGTTCAATTCCAGACCTGAAGGGCGGCTAGGGGCCATAGCCTCAGGTTCCACCAGGCTCTATCAGACCAGCAAACCTGGTCCCTTTTTTGTTTTTTTTCCTAATGATTTTTGAGATTTGTTCCACATTATTCTCCCACTCTATCCAGGATTGCCAGACTATTTCATGGGTTACTGACCAGCTGGGGAGCTCTGGTAGCATAGTGCCTAAGGCACTTGACTGCTAACCAGAAGGCTGACGGTTCAAACCCACCAGCCACTCCTCGGAAGGAAGGTTGGGCAATCCTACTTCTGTAGTGATACTGCCTCGGAAACCCAAGGAGGGGTCGCTATGGGTCAGGGCTGACTCGACGGCACATAACAACAACAACAACAACTGACCAGCTGTATTTGTTTCTTAGCACTGCTATAACAAATTACAGCACATTCAGTGACTTAAAACAACACAAATTTATTATCTTAGAGTTGTGGAAGTTACAGGTCCCAAATGGGTCTCACAGGGCTAAGATCAAGGTACTGGCAATTCCTTAATTCTGGAAGGCTAAGGGGAGAATCCATTTCCTTGCCTTTTATAGCTTTTAGTGCTGCCCCTGGCACAGTTATTAAAGCACTCAAATGCTAACCTAAAGATCAACAATTCAAATCCACCAGCTGCTGGTGGCAGACTGCTTCCGTAAAGATTTACAGCCTTGGAAACTCTACGGGGTAGTTCTGCTCTGTCCTGCAGAGTTGCTATGAATTGGAATTGACTCACCAGCAGTGGATTTTGATTTGACAGGCTACCCACATTCTTTGGCTCATGGTCCTGCATAACTACACCCTCTGCTTCTGTCATCCTCCTTTGACTCTGACCTTCCTACCTCTCTAAGGACCCTTACATTATATTGGCCCCAGTAGGATAATCCATAAAAATCTTCCCATTTCAAGAATTCCTAGGTGTTGCAAATGATTAAGCACTAGACTGCTAACTGAAAGGTTAGCACCCACCCAGAGGCACCTTGAAAGAAAGCCTGGTGATGTGCTTCCAAAAGGTCACAGCCTTGAAAACCCTGTGCAACACAGTTCTACATTGCATCAGAAGGGATCTCCATGAGTCTGAATCAACTTGATGGCAGTTGGTATGGTATACAAGTCCTTAACTCAATCACAGTAGCAGGGTCCTTTTTGCTGTGCAACAACATAATCACAGGTTCCTTGAATTAGGACATGGACATTTTTGGGAGACTATTCTCCAACCTGTGGATTAACTGTCCAGAGTTCAAGTGCCCCCACTGAGTTTAGTCAGCTATGACTTGGGGGGAGTTTGGGCAAGGGCTGCCCCACGGTGAGAGAAGAATAGCCATGAGAAGGTACAGTGGGAGTGTTCTGGTTCCCTAGTGCCACTCTGACAAGAATATTCCACACATGGGATGCTTGAACAAACAGGAGTTTATTCTCTTACAGTTTGGAGGCTTTTAGTCTGAGTTCAAAGTGCCAGGCTCTAGGGGCTGGGTGAAAGCCCTTCAGCCTTGGGCTTCAGCTCTGCCTCTTGTTCCCAGCCCACTGGAGCTAGAGGCTTTTCTTCACTCAGGCAGCTGCTGGCTGCTGAGACTGACAAGCCCAAGGTCGACAAGTAAAAAGGCACAGTCCCAATGTTACCATATCACACAGCAGGCCATTAATTCAAGTCCATTGAAAGTCCCAAGGTCGGCAGAGCATGGCAGGCTGCTGAACAACAACACGGCTACATGCAGGGTTCAAGCATGCCATAAGCTAGTTTTTACCCAAGGCTTTTCCTTAAATACAGGAAGTGGACCACAGCCCTAAGGCAGCTACACAGCTGCTCAGAGTAGATTCCATCATGGAGTTGATTACCAGTCTCATCATGGGAATACTACATCCAGCTGCCCAGCCACTCAACCAGGCCCAGCCAAGTTGACACACAAACTTAACTACCACAAGGAGGTACAATTAGAGAGTCTATATCATCAAGTTGGGAGGTCTGGTAGCGTAGTGCCTAGGGCACTTGACTGCTAACCAGAAGGCTGACAGTTCAAATCCACCAGCCACTCCTCAGAAGGAAGATGGAGCAATCTAGTTCCGTAGTGATACTGCCTTGGGAACCCAAGGAGGGGTTTCTATGAGTCGACAGCACATAACAACAACAACATCAAGACACATGACAGAAATGACCATCTCTGAATAGTGAAAAGAATCCATCTTACAGAAGGCGTAGATACCTTTATGAATAACATGTGAGTGAAAATTCACGGATGGTCAAAATACCCTTGAAAAATCTCTTAAATCACCAGGTTATAGCCCCTTGGAAGCTGAAAAATCAGAATTATCCTCTATGCTCATATAATGTAGTTTGTCAAAGCTGTCTTTCCCTGGGCTTCACTTGCCCCTCACAGTGGACTGCTCCTTGCCCTTTATCATGGAACTCCCAAATAAGGAGAGAACTATGTTACAGTTCAAAAAATATAATTAGTAAGCTATTTTTAAAGTGCAGTCTTTAGATTTACAAAGTAATTGAGCAGATAGTACATATAATTCCATATACCTACATCCCCTAGTTTCCTATCTTCCCTTCCCCAATTTTTAACATCTTGCATTGATGTGGTATATTTATTACACTTACTATATCAATACTGATACATTTTTATTATCTGTAGTTCACAGTTTACATTAAGGTTTACTCTTTGTGCTGTACAGTTCTAAGGGTTTTGACAAATGCCGTATGTACACCGTTACAGTTTCATACAGAATAGTTTAACCACCCTAAAGATATTTTGGAGGAAGTATAGGTAGAATATTCCTTGGAAGTATGAATGACTACACCTCGTTTCTCATACTTTGGTCGTGTCAGAAAGGACCAGTCCCTGGAGAGATAACATGCTGGGTTATCTCTCAAAGTAGAGGGTCAGCAAAAAAGTTGAAGGACCTCAATGAGATGGATTGACACAGTGGCCGTGATGATGGGCTCAAGAATGACAACAGTTGTGAGGATGGTGCAGGACTGGGCACTGTTTTCTTCTGTTGTACAGAGTATTGCATTGCTTTGAATCAGAACCAACTCAACAGCACCTAAGAAGAATAACAAAAATGCCTGGTGCTTCATTTATTCATCTTTCCCTTCCCTCCCTGAACTTCTGGCAACCACTGATCTTTTTACAGTCACTGTAGTTTTGCCTTTTCTAAAATGTCATATATTTGGAATCATATAGTATGTGGACTTCTCAGACTGGCTTCTTTCACTTGTTGTTAAGTGCCGTCAAGTCGTTTCTGACTCATAGCGACCCCATGCACAGCAGAACAAAACACTGCCCGATCCCGCGCCAGCCCCACAATC